TATATGCTATAATGAAGGAAATTAACAAACTTTTCTTTTCAATTGTATGCATTCTCTGAAAAGGGTTATAAAATCCCCAGTGGCTGTGCCATGAAACTATTTCTAGGATGACCTAAGCAATTTTAAAATAAACTCTGCCTGACATTGTAAAAGTAGTACTGTGGCAATAATTGTATAGGTAGAGTCCTTTAAATCCTGTAATGACAAAGCTATGCAATAAAAGGACATTAGAGCTAGCCACTGCTTGTAAACCTTGTCTTCATTTCAACTGCCCCAGTCACATCTGCCACACTGCTGTGTCTATTAAATGAGAAACTCAGATGGCTGTCCTCATAGATCTCCTTTTATTTAATGGGGCATGCATGAGGGTAAGGTGGATCGAATAGCTACTGAATGTGTATTGAGTCCTCCTCCTTGCCACCCCCCAGGAAAGACTAGGTAACTGGATTCATGCCATCTGATGTGATAAAATAAATTCTGACTAAATTAATTTCTCCTTGCAAAAAATTTTCTTACCTGGGTGCGATCACCCTAGGAAGCAATTCCACATAAGTAAATATTCTAGAGGTGAAATTTCATGTTTGCTGATAACAAGATATGAGAGTACACTTCAGAGCAAAGGCCCTGTCTAGGAATGTCATTACATACTCTATTTAAATAGAATTTAAACAGGGTTTAGCACATAGTAGGTATAGATGAAATATACTAAAAAGAGAATTACATATCTCCTGACAATCATATTAATATTTTATCCACATCTTATGTTTTGAATTCTTGCATGAAAATCATGGAATATACTTAAAATATAGATATTTCTAAAAGTTTGGCTTGAGTTAACTTTTCCCACAATTTGAGCAGTGCATATCTCAGCTACTTCCTGTCATTCATCACATTTCCTTCACATCCAATTACTGAAAATCAGCAATCAGCATCATCAGCCCCAATCTCTGCCCCATCCTTAGTGAACTGGCTACTTCCCAATCTGGACACCCCACACTGAAATCCACTGGCTGGCACAAAGTCTTAATGATATTTTTAGTGAGCAACAATTACATATGAGTGAGCAATAGAGCACACAAGCTATTTATAGAAGTCTTTCAGTGCAAAAAGTAGAACAATTCATGAAGGAGAGTACAGGTAGAAAGCAGCTAAAGAAATGTAGGAAGGGATATGTCACAAAAGTTAATTTAAAAACAAGGTTCAAAAGATTTATCAGACAAGAGAAAATATAAATATATGAAACAAGGAAAGGATACTGTTATAGGAAAACTGAGAGAAGAGGAAGGCCTACAAGATATAACATTTAATTAATAAGTATACATTTGACAGAGAAATGAAATAGAAGAATAGAGCAAAAACTTTGTTGAGTTGTTTCAGTTGATAGTTTTCAGAATGATTGAGATTGTTTTCCTAGAGTGTATACAGGGAAAGAAATAGTGTCAAGTGAAAGCTTTTCATAAAACTGGGGCAAAAAGAAAGTACTAAAATATTGGAAAGAGAAAAAAAGAAACATGATTACATGTAAAGACATAGGAATACAATAAACAATCACAGCGGACTTTTCATGAGCAACCAGGATAAATGATACTGGAAGGAAAATTTTAATATTTTGAGAAGTTTATTTTTATACTTAAATTTTGTAACTTAAAATCTGGTTAGAATAAAAACAGTTTGGTTTGGAATGTGCTCAAGTCCCATTGAGCAGAAAGCAAGATAGAAACACTGCTGAATAGAGGGGATAACAAAACAAATACAACATGCAAGAAGTAGGGGATCGATCATAATAAAGACGAAAGACAAACCAAGACAAAGTTTCTGGAGCAGATCTAATATACATCCCAGTTAGATCCAGTGGGAAGTCTGAGATCGCCAAAAAGCCATGGGGGTGCTATTTAATCGCCAAGTGAAAGAGAGAATGTAGGTGTTCAAGAATTTACAACAGCTATAGAATAAGTGAAAAATTGATTATTATAAATTCACAGAAAAGCAAATATAGCATCAGAAGAGAACTGCAATTACAATAATATAAGACAACATATGGTTGATAATATTTACAATTAAAATATTTCACTCAATATTAATAATATAGTCAATGTCCCTAAAGTTACTTTACTAGAAAGAGTAGAGGCAGCGGGGGTAGAGGGAATTCAAAAGAAGAAAATGGAGGAGATATAAGTGGGACAAATAATTACCTTCTGAAATAAAAGATAAAACAAAGTATGTAATTGATACATCAATAAATAAAGGAATACACATACATGTAGAAATACTGAAATAGATACTAGAACCAAAAGGATAAAGTAGACTTAGACACATTCAATGTTGAAGAGTGTGTGTGTGTGTTAATTGGAAAACTATGGTGTATGATATCTTTTGTTATGCTTTGTAATACCTGTGATATATATTACAATTTGTGTACAAAAAATCTGCTTTCATTTATTACTTTAATAAAGATGTAAAATTATTAGGAAATATATACATGCTATTTTTATTATTTTTTTTTAAATAACAGATTTTGGATAGCAAACATTTGAAATCAAATCATATTTAGAAATTTAATGGTATACAGTACTTCAACTCTAGCTTCATTGAGTTTGGGATCTTTAAGACTTAACAAAAATAAACTGCAGGGATTTAGAGATTGTGCCATAGACTTTACTGTCATTTTACACCATAATAATGTATTTTAACTTTTATATTTTATAGTATCCATTTAATAAAAATGGTCATGGACAGAAAATATTGAAGAAGAACACAGAATACAGATAATTCATGGAGTATGGCACGGTAACTTTTTGAAAATTGGTTTACATTCATCATGTCTTGTCAAAAGGGAACACTCTAACAATAAATGTGAAAACTACAACAAGTCTGAGTCCAAGCATGCTTCCTAAACACTCTGAATATTTGAAGAAAGGAGAATTTTTTTCAAGCAACTTGTCTCAGTGTGTAGATGACTACGCTATAAGAAAAAATAACATTTATTCCTTTCTATGTCCTTGCAAGTTATAAATCCATTAAATTTCTTGAGCAACTCAATATCATCAGTCACTTTTTATGGAGTTGCAAAAGACACTCAAAGTCCTCTGGAGTATACAGTGACTATGACCGTTACATGATGGAGTTGGTAAAACATGAAAATAAAATGGAGCTAGAGTGTGAGATGTAACCAGCTTTTAAATATTAGATAAGAAGTGATGATATTTAACAACAGTAAAATATATAGAGGTTCCTTTGAAAATATGTCCTGAAGGTAAGAGCACCAAAGTGAAAAAAAGCCGACATCCCCTTGAAGAGCACACTGCTTATTTCATATTTTTTAACAATAGGGAATCAAACAAAAGACAGGATCATTCCCACACAATTTTTGTCACATTCTTGATTTGGACTATATCTTCCGTATTTGTATTTGTCTTCTAAGTCTGTATGTTATTTTCAAAACAGTAATGAAATTTTTAGTTCTTCCCTTAATATTTCCCCTCAACTTATAACCCTTTAGGTCAGTTCTGACTAGTTTACACCAACAGATAAACATTTCTCATCTTCCTAAATCAATTCTTTGAGAGAAACTGCTTTTAGACAAATTCAATCTCTTTGGTTGATAGCTATTTTCCAAATAATTTAGAAATTGCCCCATAACTCTTGACATGTTTAGGGGTCTCCTGCAGTTCTCATAATGTCTTTAGGGAAAGCAGGTAAATATTTCATAATCCAGACACATTATTGGTAAGTCTAATTGCCTAGTTAATGACTTAAAATCTTTCAATTTTCTTCTAAAGGCCATCTATCCTGCTACAATACATGTTTTTCTAATCCAAAGCTTGTGGCAGTTACAGAAAAATAGCAATGAGTGTTTCTTTAAACAGAAGAGCTATACTTATGGGCTTTCAGTGCTAATGCTCAGTGACCACTAATTTCCCATCTTACCCGGCAAAACTGTATTTTATTCATTAGAGGGTACAGTACATTGTGAGTCTTTTAAGAGACAACTGCATAACATTTACGTGCAAACTTATACTTGTCTGAGCTTTGAAGGACAGAAATTTACATGCATATATTGAACAATTTTATTTTTGCTATTCATTCTTACAATGAATTATGGGATTTCTCATGGCTTTGTCGTTTGGGACTCCAAGCAGCTTAGTATCCACAGGGAGTATTATCAGAGATTACACAGTACTCAGAGTGATTGCACAGGGAAGGCTACACTCTGGAACGTACTCATAAAGTACAACTTTAACCTTCAAATGTAATGGAAATCAGAATATGCCTCTTTCCTTGAAGGCACTTGCGTGGGCTCCTCCTAAACCGTGAAGGAAATTCCTTTAGGGACCAGTACAAGACTTTGAGGCTGCACTTGGGCATGTCCTGGAGGAGTGATCAAAAACAGGGATGCTATCATGTCATGGATAGAATCAGGGGATTATCTTATCAGCATTGAAAAGTCATTTAAATATCACAATAATACCTTGGAATTTAAAAAAATCATATAGTATCTGCAGCAGTGAAGATATATCAAGGCATGTTTATATACACACATATCTATGTATGTTTGTGTATATATATGATAAGTGCATCAAAGTGGGAGGAGTGATAAACATTAGATGAAGGTAATATTTGAAAGAGATTTTGAGAACAGTAATTTTTTTACATTTCGGTGAAAGGCAAAACATTTCAATTATAACAATAAAGAAAGTGACTAATGTTTTACAGTTTTTCTCAACATCAACATTTTACCAGCTGGGGATTTGGCTCAGTGGTTCCGCCACATGCCTTGCAAGTGCAAGGGCCCAAGTTCCATCCCCGGTACGAAAAAAACAAAAAAGAATTTGAGAAATATTTTACCAGACTGATAAAAAAAATTTAAAAACTAAACAATTCTAATTGGTAATAATGAGCAATGATTCATCTATAGCGTTTATTTAGTGTTAAAAAAACATCTTAAAACAAAGGAAAGGGAAACTATAAATAGCAATTTTCAATTCCAAAGAGAGTTTTACCAAAGACAGTCAGCTCTGCTGGGTCGCTGTCTCTTTCTCCCACCATGTTGGTGCCTACACAGGTGTACATTCCCGCATCACTCTTCTTCGTATTGGAGATCATCAGTTTTCCACCACGAATCTGTCAAAATTAAACAAAAGATCAAGAAAAAGGAAGGGAAACACGAAAGAAAAAAGGCCATGAAATAATAATTTTGAATGCTTAAACATTATTTTTTTTCCAAAACACAACAGCTCTATCTAAGACTCAAGTCCGTCTTATTTCTCAGGCATTGCAAGTATGGTTTATTTTATGAATACATATGAGTCTCCATATTAAGGGACGCTTCTTTACAATAGTCTCCCTCTTTCTTGCTGGTAATATTTTGAATGTTGTGACACTTCTGACTAAATCCCAAGGGTTTGTCTTCATAAGGAGATGCTGTTGAATGAAATGCTATTTTCATTTGTCATCAAAAAGTTATAACAGACATTTACAATGGATAGTAGGGTAGAAACCAGCTGACATGGATTCACCAAGTATTTATTGAGCATTTTTAAGGACCAGACAGTATGCCAGGCATTTAGCATATGGTATCAAGCTAAATAGTGAAAATTAATGCCTTTGTAAGACATTTCAATGGATAGAATTAATCATCTTCTTTTAAATTGTAACATTAATTATGAAATAATTTTTTAAGAAGGATAGGTTGGATAAAAATAAATGAAATTATAAAACATTCATTGTGATTATGGATACAAATATGAAGTGATACAATCACAGACAATAAGTGTTCTCTAGATGTTTCTTAAATGAGAAGCATTTATTATATGAATTTACAAAGGCAATAGTATAAAAAGGTCTGTTTTTTTGTTTTTTTTTTTTTGTTTTGTTTTGTTTTGTTTTTTGGTACCAGTGATCGAACTTGGGTCCTTGTGCTTGAGAGGCAGGCGGCGGAACCACTGAGCTAAATCCCTGGCCCAAAAATATCTGTTAAAGGAAATACTGAATCAGAATTTTTTTAGATGAATGAATAGCAACTCACTAATTTTTCTAGTTTTTCTAATTAATCTAATTTAATATTCTTAACTTTACAGTGATTGAACAATCTTAAAGAGATACTAGAAAAGAATATGTTGCTTTTTCCATTTTTTAATTTCATAAGTAAACAAATCTCAAAGAGGTTTGTTCTTATCAAAGGTAGATGAGAAATTTAGCTCTGAAATTTAGCAGGTAATAGAAAAAGATTTTTCAACTGTTTTGTACATGAGAAGAAAAGACTATGATTATATCTTCATTTAAATCCAGTATGTTTTAATGATAGCTTATAAAAATGATTGTGAAGTTCATTTTTCTTCCCCTTGAAGCTGAATTTGACAATATGACTTGACTTGATCAATGGAACCAGAACAATTCTTTTGCCAGGAAAAAAAAAAAAAAAAAAGGTTCTTTCACATGTCGATTTGCCTTCTCTCGATACAGATAGACCCTGACACAGCAGGGCATCCCAGCCTGAGCTACTGTACTGAAAATTAGAAATGATTGTTAGGAAGACTGAGGTGTCTGTCTGAGAGCTGGTTCATTTGCAGATGTGAGCAGGATCATGCTAGACCATTTAGCTGCTAACATACATTTAAATAAGCCATAGCAGGATGGGAAAGTTAAGCAGAGATCAAACAAACTGGCTCAGGGAAGAACTATTAGATTTCCCGTAGAACCATAGTCTCAAAAATTTCTACAAGGCATTAACTCTGGGGTGGTTTGATAAAGAGCAAAGGCCAAATAACATATTTTTAAAAGTCTGATACCCAAACGTGGCCCTGGCCCATTCAGAACCAAATTCTCTTCGGGGATACAGATCCTCACAGTGTTAATAGTAAAGGCCAAAATATAAGAATATATGTTGTGATCTCTTACATAACCTATCAGTTCTATGTTACCCTGTAATCTCAATGTGAGCCCAGGAGAAAGCCTCATTTATAATAAATATATTTTTAAAATAAGCCTAAAATTATATGAACTTTTGATTGAAATGTCACATTTGTTCAGTCAAATAGAAATTGCCTTCAATAAAATACACTGATTTTCAGTTATTATACTAACTCTAAAAATTCTACTACCAAATATCAAACGATATATTCTACTTCAATGAGTAAGTACTTACTTATAAATTTCATGTACAAATATTAAATATAATGCTAAAAATAAAAAGGTTACATGATATTCCCCTGCTTTACCTCATTACCACGGTATGGTTGTCTTATTTTGAATCTCAAATCAACTAATGAACATGATCTCCAATTTTCTTGGAAGGAAGAATATTTTCCTACTTGAACTAAATTGCAGAATCAGCCAGTTTTATTAATATTTTACTCACTTCTTTTAAATATGCTTTAAAATTAATTTTTGCATAAATTTGTGCTGTTATAAGTATTATTTAATTGGAACAACTAGAATAAGTGAGAAGTTCATCACCTCAAATTATTTCCTCTTAAAATTTTGAAAATGGTACAAAATGAAGTGTAGTTAATATGGGTCATGGATACTCAATAGGGCTAAAAGAAGCCTTTGGAGACCTTATAAAAAGCTAAAACATCAGTGTCATACTGCAAAGATATATTTACAGGTGGAGAGTGGAACAGCTATCACTATATCTTGTACAACTGACTTGTTTGTATAACTTATCCTTGAAACCTCATGTCAGTTTTTTAAAAGGTCCTTTCAAAATGCTTTAAGTAATAACCAGCTTTAGATACAACTTTATTAGCAATAAATTACAGAATAAAATATATTCATATCTACATATGGAATTTGGACTTTCTAGGCCTTCAATGCAGTTTAACTCACACTTATTCTTTCTTCCTTGTCATCAATTCGAACTTTGTCTTTTTTCCAGTAGATCGTAGGTTCCGGGTGTCCCCGTGGAGGTTGGCACTCCAAGATCGCAGGCTCTCCAGCGGCCACTACAACATCAGTGGGGTTTTGCCGGAAGTCATCTCGCAACACTGGAGAAAAAGAGTTACAATAAAAGAAAACTAACTTTCAGTAACTTTAGTGTTTCCTTGCAAAATGTAACTGCAAGTCTTACTTATTCTAGTAAAACATGACTTGAATATTTATTGAGAAGGGAATTATGCACATTTTAAAGTATTTTAGAGATAGCATTTATACTGATTAATAAGAGAATGGATGATTACATGGTCATGTACTTTTGCTCAAAAATCCAATTTTGATACTGAAACGAGTCTTAGAACAAAAAGACAATAAATATTTATGATATAATTTGAGACTTAATTTTTAAAAACCCATAGAACAATTTATATACTATAATTCTGTTATCTGCAAGGGAAAAGCATACATATATGTGCATACATATATTTAAATAATGGTAAAGACATACTAAAACCTAAAGCACATATTTGTAAGCATATATTCATATATTCACTTCTTTCCATGGGGGAAGTGGAATGACAACTCCTTGAAAGTCCCTTCTCATGCAATGAATATGGAGAAGAGCCACACTGTTTTCATTACACTTTATAAGACAGACTCATTGTTCACCCTTGCAACGCACTGGCACACACATACACAGGGCTGTATTTTCCTTCTCTCTGTCTCTCCACCTGCCGAGTGACATCTGGGCAGCGTAACATTCAGAGCAGAGATATCCCTTATAGCAGTTTTTCCAGTCTGAATTTCCCCTCCTTTCATTAAGGAGAACAGCAGGTTGGACCTCCGTGGTAACCTCAGAAAATCTGGCATGCCTGGCTCTCCAAATGTCACCTATCTATCAGCATTTGCTTTTCTGCTGCTGGCAAGCAACTTGGAACTTTACAAGCCTCTTGGCCCTATCACACTGCAGAAAGGTTGGGTTATTTGGCAAATAACAGCCATGACTATTTTAAGATGAACATTACAAAAAGTAGAGACCAGGTAATGTACATATCTTCCAGCTATCTCTGCTATTCTGTACTGCTTTCACTTTTCCTATTTGACATTCCTGCAGAAAGGAACCACATATAGGGTAAAACAAATCTATATGCATCTGTGTATACTTGCACAGATGGCTTGTTATATATGTTAAACATAAATACACTCGTGTGCACATTCAGAGAGTCTGTATGTGTGTATGTCTGTGTGTTCCTATGTGCCATGTGTGTGTATTAATGTGCATATAGCGGGATGTGTGCATATGCATACAAGTGTGTGCTGGCTGAATTCAGCATTAGGCAGCTTGTGCTTGCCTGTTATGTAAATTATTTGGTGTAAATGGGGATTAGGTCAAACCAAATGCCTTCCATGTCCTGTAATGAGACCCACTTCAGCACTCTGTTTTTGTTGTTGTTGTTGTTAAAAGTCTCTTGGTTAACTTTCATTCTCCAAATAAATAAAAATTTCTACCCTAAAAAAATAGCTCTAGAGATTCAGCCAAGTGGCTTTGAGGGCTTTTCTTTTCTCTTCCAACACATCCTTCAACATGGTTTCCCATCTTAATGAAGTCATGGCCCTTTGTGAGATTAGAGAACCTTGTTTCTTACTGAAGGAGCAATAAAAAATAATTCAGCACATATTGTTCATTCTCAGCTTATAAACTTATTAATTGACTGTTTTTGGTGCTAAGAAAATGTGTTCCACTTTAGCACTGTGAACTGTACATTTCTGGTACCCTTGTCTAACTAGAAAGAAAGGTGTGATTTTACATGCGTGAGGATTTGCTTCTGAATTGGCTTAGAGAAGTGTGCATTTCAATGTGACACTCATGCAAGTGATCAGAAGGGGTTAACACCATGGTCCTCTTTTACAGTTATATTCTCCAGGGAGAGCAAGCTGGTGACTAATTTATATTCTAAATACAGAACAGCTGCCTGTTTATGCAATGTTAAGAAGTGCAAAAATATGGTAACAGGGTGATGAACCCCCTCCTACAATATCCGGTACTGGCAACAAATGGTGTTTTGGCAGACCTTCAATCTGCTCCAAAATGGCACATCTGGCTAGTTGAAGGGTCTTGTCCAGAACTGGTCGCCTAATACATGACATGCCAAAAACCCTTAGCTCAAATGGTATTTACCACCACTGCAAATCTTTTGGAGATGACTGTTACACCGATTGGCAACGATCCAAATTAAAAGGAATGAAAAAAGGCCCTTTAACAGGAGGAACAAAAAGATGAAAAATATCATAACAAACTCTAAGGACTGCTACCCTTAAACAATATAACATGTGTTCATGCATTCACCAAAAAGGGGAAAATGACTCCAATTTGCACATGAAGCCAAGAAATCTAACATCAACTGTAATTTTAGGCTTTCAGACTATTCACTCAGAGAGTAGGGTGAGATAATGGTATAATTGGTACTGTACCCTCTTCATCTTATAATATGCTCTTTAGGGTTTGTATATGACTCAGTAATTCATTTGTGCTTAATGAGACTGTTTCGTGTACTCATGGTCTTGGGGCAAAATATGTTTCTTCTTTTCTCAAATTAAAACTTTCAGGAGAAAAATAATGTGACAGAATATCACTTCTGAGATTAGATTTTAAAATGTTGTGACTTTCATTTGTTTAGATCTGACTGTCTCTCTCTTCATCTGGCATCTTGCAAGATGCCATGCTGCCTATGAGAGAAGCTCTGTGGCTCAGAATTGAGACAGCTTCCAGCCAACACCAATAAGAAACTGAGGTCATCATTCCAAGAAGTGTAGAAGACTCAAATTGCCCCAGAGTTTGTGACAATTTGTGTAAAGCAAACATGTGATTTTTAGATCTCGAGTCTTTGCTTCCTGCTTCCTCGAAACCCCACATTCTTTTCCTCTCAATCCCGCCCTTGTCTGTCCTAAATCAATAGTTTTCTGGAATTTTAAATTCAGTTGGAGAAAACTAATCCTCAGAAATTCCCATTTCATTAAAATGAATTAGCAGTAAATAATGAGATGAACTGTACAAAAATAGACTTTTGAAAGATGCAACAGTGATTTCAGAAGTTTCTGATCCATGGTGTATAAGGCATTCTAGTGAAGTTATTAAAAATGTAAAGCCTAAATGCATTATTGACAAAAGTATTCATGCACACCATTGCATAAAGAAAACCATCCTAAACAAACTAAATTGGCTGTGAGAAAGGTAATCTAAAAACAAATTATAATGACAAGCATGACTAGCAGCAGTGGAAAACCAAAGGCAACTAAGAGAACACTCATCCCTAGGCTCCCAGCAGGCAGAATGTATATGTATGCACGTGTGTGTGTGTGTGTGTGTGTGTGTGTGTGTATAAAAGTTGTGAGAGCTTGTGATAAAACAGATCCAGATTTTTCAAGAGAAAACTGAACTTGATTCTCAAGCAGATGTTTATCTGGTACCTATTTTAGTTTATTAATACAAGATTTCAGGGAATCATTGTACTTACAAGGACATACAAGAACTTTTGGTCTTGCATATATAGATTGAATGTGAAATTATGTGCTGGCTTTCAATAAGAATGAGAATTGATCCAAATGCCCTCTACAATTGATCTTCCAAACATTGTTTTTTGTTTGTTTTGTTTTGTTTTTTGACCAGTTAGCAGGCACACATTAAGATACTTTTGATCTCTATTTTCAAAATAACTATCCACAAATACAGGCTAAAATTTACAAATACATAGTATTTGTCAATTGAATAAATATGGATAGGTCATCTGAACTTCATCGATTATGCTACATGAAACCAGTGTGTCTAACTATGAACAATTATTATGCTATACTGATATGTAACATCATGTGCTTCTAATTCTAGTGTCCTCACACCCTTAGTTCAGAATGTTCTTATATCTTTCTATCTGTCCCCTTTCTCTGACTTCAATGTGCTATTCTGAGTTTAGTAAAATGAAAAGATGATCAGATCAATTGTCATATTTTTTAATGGCTCTTAGAATAAAAATTCTGTCCTTGATACAATTTCAAATGTTCTTTAGAACTGGGTCAATTCTTACATCTCCAGGCCCATCACAGATATTTTTACAATGTTTACACATTAGGCATATAAAAGAACAATTATCACATCCATGGGTTTATGTTGTCCTTTTTCCTGAAAATATCTCCCAGCTCCTCATTTTCCCCTTGAATTTGTTCATTCTTTTTCTCAAAAGCATAGCAATCCCTCAGTTTCAGTTACATTTCTCTAAAATTTTATTCTCTAAATTAGACTGGGTAATCTACCAAGGACTCTCATTTTGAAGTGCATGAGAAGATTAATCAAGTACTCTTCCTTGATTGACTAAGTTGATGAAATCTTCAAGAAGAATACTGTATCCTTTCTTATTATGTAATCTAGGCCATAGCGTTTTATTTTTAAAATCCCATCTGTAAGTTGGTATTATGCAAAGGGCAACCTACTTGTCTTGACTACTTGCATTCTCTAAAATAAAAGTCAGAGAGTTCAAAAAGGTCAGAAAACTATCTTGCAAAAACTCAGTAGACTTATATGTAAGAAAACTGGTACCAATTATAACATAAAATAGTTAATACAGAATAAAAGAACGATGGCCACCTTTACACCTATATCAATAATATTTTCTTAATTATTTCACCTCAATTCCAGTACCAGCAACAGACATCAACTTGGAGAGATTCATGAATGATGGAAGTATGCACACTAAGGCTGAGCTTGAAAAATCTGAGTTTCTTTATGAGATGGACACAAGTTAACCTTGAAGACTGTCTGAACTTTGTACTTTCTCCTTAGGTTTCCCTTCATATCTTTCCCTTTTTTTTTTGTACTGGGGATTGAACTCCGGTCCTTGCAATTGCAAGGCAGGCGGCAGAACCATTGAGCTAAATCCCTAGCCCTAGGTTTCCCTTCATATCAAAGCCAATTTCAAGTAAATTTTCCCTTCCAACTGAAAGTGATCCACTCTTATGGTGCAATAATTCTATAATTGTGTGAACTTTTTATTGACTAAAAAAAAAAAACAAATAAGTATTAGAGGAATGGTCACTGTATATTTGGTACAATCAAAATACTCCT